CTCGTTATACAATGGCAGCTTGCCAGTGTTATATTAGCATTTATTTATCACTTTTCCTTCTATTTTATTGCAGATGATCGGTCAGAAATACTTTTCACCAACATGCAGTTTCTGGGATATAAAGACCAGGTATTATTTTGAAGGCAATAATATCATGTTATCAGAAATGATTTTCGAAAATATTTTGTCTTTCATTTGATTTCTATATGTACATCTTACATTAATAAATTGATATCTTCACACTTCATATAATTATTATTCCTCATTGTTTCATGAAGTGGAGATCTCTTCGTTGCTTAAATATAATAAAATACGTAGGATAGGGCAATATAATTTCTAGAATATATAGGGAATGTGGAGTTGATATCATAAGATTTGATAGATAGTAATTCTTTTTCTTTTTCTTTTTCTTCTTTTTTTTCTTTTTCTTCTTCGTCATGTTTTTACATTCTCAAAGGTTCTTGCGATTATGTTGAGAATATGACTTGTATTTTCTTTTACGAGCTAAACAACAATAAACCAAATATGTTAACGCAAATGCAACTGATTTTTTTTTTTACCAAAAGGCACATACAATCATGTTTTCTTCAAATTATTTTTAATTTTGAAATGAAGTACAATCTTATACAACAAAAACGTACATTGTCCCTTTCCACATCGTTATCCTTGATTTGTTTATAAGCGAAATATAAGCTAAATACAAAGAGGATTTTGTTTCTGTAGAATAATTAAGATACTGCTTCAGAAAATGAAATAAAGTGTTATTTTTGATATAATAATAATAATACCCAATTACTACCGTGTGAGTAAAAAAAAAGTTTACTCCTAGAAAATTGCTAATTATTTTTTAAAATCATCTATGAATCGTAAATTATTATACATTTTATGAAAGAGTGTTTTATCCCAAATCAGTTGGTACCATTTTTGTGTGGTATGTGTTCACGCTTGGATGAAAAGGAGGCATTGTTTGCGAGAGTGCAAAAATCGACTTGCGCCAAAGTGATGTCTGCAGTATGTATTATGTTATTGAGAATGAAATGAATGTATCAAATGAAATGCATTTCATATGCATTTTGCAAAGGGCAAAGTCACACGCACCCACAGTCCCACACACACGCGCACAAACGTTCGTTGATATTTGATATTCGATATTTGATATGCGTGGCATGAATAACTTTGTTAGGGATATTATTTGGATCTGCACAGACCGAATTAATACCCAAATCCCAATAGTTTTATTCAAACATCACATAAGCAACTTTGGCGCAAGTCGATTTTTGCACTCTCGCAAACAATGCAAACAAATATTATAACTGTGTCCAAATAAAATTATGTAAATTGTTTTCATCTGGTCACATTACTCGTGTGCTATGTTTTTTAAAGAAAATGGAGTTCCACCGGCTGTCGAGAAACCTCGAGGGAGAACGTGAATATGACGTCATGCTACTGTGATCACATGACCAGCTTTGCCATTCTCGTGAGTTTGCTGCCGAGTGAGCTGGTAAGATATAATCATGATGTATATATTATATATTAGAGCTTATCATTTCACAAACGTGTATAACATTTAACTATAATTCTCCACAGTTGGTTAGCTGTTGATTAAAGAGAGATTCTGATATGTAAGTATGCGCTATTTGAATTAATGATTTTTATCATTTCAACGTATAAATTTTATATTGGCGAGTTAATTGTGAGAATATTCATATCTTTTAATAAGAAAATAATCGAAATTATCCCTTAAGATGCAACGATATTTCAAAAAGTATGAAATATTTCCCCTTTACCTGGAATGTGCTTATCCTAAACGCTTTTTCCCATGATAATAGTTTTTGACAGGGATACATTTTGACAAAATGAGTGAATTAGTCTTACAGATATAAAGTCCATTATAATATTTTGTCTTCGACACAAATATATATATATAAATATATATCTATTTTATACCAAGAGTATTAATAACGTTGAAAGCTATGTGTTGAACAATACTTTTTAGGATGGAGATATCATCAGTGATATTCTAACCTGGGTTAGCCTTGGACTATCTGTGACGTCACTCGTTATCGGTCTGATTACGTTCTTTATTCTCAGGTAAAAATATCAAGGAATTTGTAGTTTTAAATGGTTGACAACCCAGTATAACTTGGGCGATTTTAATAATTTATGTATTATTTTTTCATGTAGTTCAAATCTAAAATGGATAGTGGTTTATTACGTAGCATGTTTCCCGATTAAGCAAGAAGAAAAAATAAACCCAATGCATATTCTTTTATTCATTCTAATATACTTTTTTGTTGTTGTTGTGATATTTGTATTCAAAGTAATATATTTGACCAGAGGTCGAAATTATACATAGTTGTTTTGTAACCCTATAACACAGTAGGTCCAAAAAATAAATTTACATTTCAAATCTATAACTGAAAAAAGGTGAATTAAACACTTTATTTCTTCTCTGTGCCATGGATATAATATGAATAACATGCTTTGTAAACCAATAAACAATCATAAATTTTGGTTAACTCGACTAAAAACTTTCTGTAAATCATCGGGTCTAATTTTCATTTTATACATAGACGATCGTTGACAGCTGACCGAGTTATAATTCATGCAAACTTGATGGTCGCCATTCTGTTTGTCGATATCATCTTCTTTGCCAGCATCAATCCTATTGAAATTGAGGTAATCTTTATTATTTTGTATTCTGAGATTTCTGGAAGGCTATCCATTTCCCTTGTTTTCCTTATTAAAGCCATGTGCTACATTCAACTATAATATTAAGCAAATACCAGAAATAGACACTCTTTCATCTTAAAAATATATAGAAGAATATTTCAATTTTAAATAAATGTCAATACTCTACCAACATCAATTAAAATCAAGCTTCGAATTTTCACGCTTGGATGGGCACATACATTGTAACGGTTAGTAGGTCTGATTAAGAAGAATGCAACAGCACAAAATAGAGCAAGTAGCCATTCAAATGCTAATGAGCATGTGAATCTGTTGGACAGACTTGCTCAAAAGTTTAAAGGGGAAAAAAGAATGAGAAACGATGAGGAGGGTTGAGCTCTGGATATCAGATGTAGTCTCAGGACTGAATGGTTTTGACAAGCACGGTCAAGATGCCTCTCCTGTCCATCCGAGATCGTGGACTAGCCGTGTGATACCTCCAATGCTCATCAAAATTTGAGTGGTCAGATGCCCCATTTTTGAAACTTTCTTTCAGATACTCATTCATTGTTAAATTTGTATACTCTCTCAAGCATGAGTGATATGAATCCAGTTGCATAACATCTTAAATAGGAGTAATTTATGTTTATTTTGGTATATAAAAGGTAAGCTTAAAGGAAATACAAAGTTTTGGTATGGGGTCATGAATTTGGTTTAAATGAACATAGTGGAAGCATTTGCGATTTTACAATTTTCAATGATCATTTTCGCGGTTGAAATCGAGTCTGAAGTGATGAAATTTTAAATAATAAACTCGTTATGTCGGATAGCTCCCTCTCAAGGCTGATATTAATTAAGCTTTGGAACAGTGTTTCTTGACTACAATCGACTGATTTGCTATTCCCGTTTAGAAATTATATATCAAAACTGCATATTCTGAGATTTTCATGGTCGCAGCTACCACGGAATGGCCTGAGGCGTTATTTGAAATATTTGATATTTACTGGGAGCACCGGTAAATTTTGATTATTCAAAATTCTCGAAAACGGAAGTGTTTTAGGGGCTAAATTGTCTAGTGCTTATAATACATCCATTGGGGCATCTAAATATATCAAAATTTAAAAGATTACTATCCATCCAATTTTCAAAATTTCCCAAAACTTTACATTACCTTTAATATATAAAATACATTTTTGAAATCTTAACTACAAATTGTGTTCTCTTTTTTTTGGGTGGATATATAAATGCTGAGTGTTCCAATATAAATGTTTCTGGTATCTGTCTCCGTGGTCTAGCTATTGAAGGATTTGGCGTACGCAACCAACGACCTTCGTTTGATTCCCGGCAGAGACTGTTTTTAAAACCTTTGCAGTTATTTCCTTCAAAGGAAGGCTTTAAGGAGGAACAACGAAATCGTGACGCCAAAATAATTTTGTTATGTAATTTGTTTATATTTTCAGTATATATACATATATACCTTACAGCGTCGTTAGACGGACATATGAAGTGACAAAAATGGGTCATTCTTAAAGTACACATGGTCATTAGTAGAATAATTCCATGTCCTGTTAAAGGGCCACTCTAACCAAAAACTGCCTTTAAAAAAATGAAAAAAAGACATGTAGAATAATTTTTGACTGAGATTGCGAACATGACAATGATTTTTCTTAAAAATCATCAATAATTCTAGAATCTAGCTTTAGAAATGACGACTCAGAACGCTCAGAAAAAAAGACCAGTTTTTGAAGCTGTATTGCGCAACTGTTTATGACGTCACTGCAGGAGCCTCTCCGGTGAAAAGGAGGGTGATTTAGGCATTAAATGCCTTCAAAAGGGCAAACTGTGATATTAATTGGAAACAAAACATTTATCCGAAAAATAATATGCACTTGATAATCCCAGTACATTTCATTTATGAATTACAAGGAGATTGTAAGACAAATCGGACATGCCCGCAGTGACGTCAAATGCGTCATCAAGGCCAAGTGACCGTATTACCTTTTTCGAGGGGCGTAGCTGTTATTATCATTTTTTGGTCAATACAGAGATTTTCTGAAAAATCAAAGGCTGGAATATTAATAAAAAGAGGTGTATTTATGTTTTAAAAGGCTATGCAAGTTGGGTTAGAGTGGCCCTTTAATGATTGAACGATAGAATTCCTGCCCTCTACGCACGTTTGCCAACTAGAGGCGATGTTGTACTCGACAAAATTCTGGCCAATTTTGCCAACTTGTATTGCCAGCCTCAAATCCTGTCCCCCATTGGCTCTTCTGACCACAATTGCATACTCTGGTCACCTAAGTTCAAGCGTTAAGAGGAACAATAAGACTATGACGAGAGTAGTCCGACCAATGAGAGCCTCTGACATACAGCGATTTGGTGACTGGATCTCGCATGATGACTGGGCAGAAGTTCTTACTGATGACAACGCCCAGTTTGCCTGTGATACCTTCTACGAGCGAGTAACATCCCACACGAACAGATGCTTTCCATCGAAGAAAGTTAAGATCCACGTTCGTGACAAACCTTGGGTAACACCTTACCTGAAATCACTTATAAAGAAAAGACAGGATGCATTTGCACAAGGCAATAATGCCCAGTGGAGAATACTTCGAAATCAAGTCCAGAAGGAAAAGCAGAAGCTGAAGGCTAACTTCTACTTAGGAAGAGTAAAGCAACTGAAAGATGAGAACCCTGCCAGTTGGTACAGACATCTCAAAATACTGACTGGTAACAGGAGTCCACCGCTGGAAATAGTTGATGGTTCCTGTGATGCTGCGTCAGAAGATTTGGATGCACAGATAGCAGAGGACATCAAAACTTTCTTTGCGGATGTGAACGCGGATATCCCGCCTCTTGACCAACATGATTTGCCTGCATATCTTCCTTCACCAGATGCTACTAAACAAGTAACTGTTTGGCAGGTATACAATGAGTTGAAGCAGATCAAACCTGGCAAATCCGGTGGTTCTGATGGGATACCAGCTCGACTCATCCGAGAGTTCGCCATCTTTCTTGCCACCCCATTGTGTCACATCCTAAATATGTCATACGCGACATGTAGTGTACCATCTTGTTGGAAGAAAGCCATTCTTGTTCCAATACCCAAGGAGCCTCCACCAGTGACAGTTGATAAATTACGCCCAATATCCTTGACGGACCATTTCGCAAAGATCGCAGAACTTTTTATCGCCAAGCAGGTCATCCACGATATTTCTGCATAGCTTGATCCGAAGCAGTATGGTTGCCGCGCTGGGCTGTCAACTGCTCACTACCTTGTTGATTTTATCAATTTCCTTGCAAAGAAGGCTGAAACCACAACCTACATGTCTACTGTGATCTGCACTGACTTCAAACAAGCCTTCGATCGCGTGAGCCATACAGTTGCCATGACGAAATTGATCCACCTTGGTGTACGGCCCGCAGTCATCTCTTGGATCTGTGATTTCCTAACAGGGCGTGAGTACAGCGTTCGTTATCACGACACTAGATCAGCATGGCAGCGCATCGAAGCCGGAGTGCCGCAGGGCACGCGTCTGGGACCACTGATTTTTCTCGTGTTGACCGATGATCTCATGCGGAATCAATTGGTGAATCACTGGAAATATGTTGATGATATGTCCATTGCAAGCTCACAAAAAGTTTGTGACCAAGATGAAACATTGCGTCATGCATTGTCATGTCTGGAAGTTTGGTGTGAAGACTACGTTAAGCTAAACCCAAGCAAGTGTGTCACCTTTAAGGTGTCTTTTAGTAAAACCGCTGTCACACGACCTGACATTGAGTTGTGTCAAGTTAAGGTTCAGCAAGTGAATGACACCAAAATCCTAGGCATTACAATTCAGGACAATCTTAAATGAGATAAACACATAGACGCCATTGTTTCTCGTGCAAAACGCCGCCTCTTCATGTTGCGATCGTTGAAGCCATTTTCTTACCCTCCTGATGACATGATAACTGTGTTTACCGGCTTCATCAGACCTGTGCTGGAAAACGCATGTCCAGTGTGGCATAGTTCGATCACCCAGCAACAAGCAATGGCTATTGAGAGAGTCCAGAAACGCGCCCTACGAATCATTCTGTCTAATCGGTACATTTCCTACCAACATGCCTTTACTTTGACAAATTTGCTGACGTTGTCTGACCGTCGGGATCAGCTGTGTCTTTCTTTTGCTCGTGATGCGTTTAAGTCGAACACAATACACGGATGGTTCAACCCAGCTGAACAGCGTAGAACTCTCAGGAAACAGCGTGTGTGTGTGTAGAACCAAGATGCGGAACTAACAGACTTAGAAACAGTCCTGTCCCATTTTTCATAGATTGCTAAATGAATATGGACTATGAACTGAGTAACTGAGTATAGAACATTAACTGTGGCAATAGACTTCTTTTAATGCATAACGTTGAACCGTATGATATGTTTATCAATGGTTTCAGCATAGGTTGTATATATGTTCTCTTTGTATTCTGGATTTTAACTTATATATATATATATGATATTATTAATAATTTGTATTGTTATGCAATACAGTGTTCAAATACATTGGATTGGAGAATATTATTCCCATTTTTGTAATAATCTGTTGGACGAATATCGGCTATGAACTGGGTAATTAATGTAAATTAGAATTAACCAAGTTACTTTGCTCCAATACAATTGTGTATTTTTATATATCTTAATATTCATATTCTCTATTGGAAGTAAGCAATAAGAAATATTTGTGCAATATACAGCACATTGAAATGAAGAATACAATGTATTTATCCCCTAATTCGTCCCTATTTTCGCGAGGTGACGGTAGTGAATGAAGATCGCATACAATTTGCGTGCGGATTTTCCTCACTGCCGTGACTTCGTGAAAATGGGAACGAATTGGTATGAACTATACACTTTTTAACTTTTTGTCTATAAAAAAAAAAATACCCACAGATTTATATTTTTAATGTTTTAAGCAATACCATTCTCTAATGTATTCAGATTATATGCAAGTGTTTATGGAGTGCCTGGAGATGAATGATCGCATTCGCCTGCCGAGGATTGCTGTGTTTTGGTTGTCGGGGTGCGGATTGCGTGCAGTAGTCGTTGCTGGGCTGGACGAGCATTATAGCTTGCCCGGTCTAGCGGCGGCTGATGTATGCGGTCCGCGCCCTGGCTATTGGAGTGCAGTGTCCCTCGGCGGGCGAGTGTGAAAGCTCGTTGGTATTTCCATTCGACTGCATTTGAGTGCATTGCGGAAGTGACCTATTGGTATATCATATTATTATGTGAAAGTTCTTTGGAAATTTGTTTTGTTATTCATGTTCATTTCAGTTTTTAACTGCCAGACACGAAGATGTTAATAAAATCCATTTATCTATCTATCTATAGGCCTCCCACGAAGCAGTAGGTGTATTCATTTATCAGTTATTAGTTTAATTAGTTATATTGTTTAGTATTTAGGGTAAGGTTATGGTTAGGGAAATATGCCAGTTTTTATGATGTACTGTTAATTTAGCATTAAGGGCTATACATGTATATATATATCCTGTTTATACAACATGTTAAGTCTTACATATATATATATATATATATATAAATATATATACATGTATATATATATACTGAACACATAATTAACTTTCATTGGATAATCTTTCGTCACGGTAATATACAAATAATGGTTAAAAGCAAACCTAGAGATTTCACTTATACACTATCTGAACAATAAATATGAAACCATTCAAAGCTAAGAAGTGAACTCTCAAGAAAGGTTATTTCAATTGTTAGGATCAGTGCTTATACGTTACACTTTTCTAAGCCTTTACAGAACTATACAAAACGTCGAAAATGACATAGGATACATTTTTGTAAAAAACACTTGTTCATTTTATCATTGCTATATTGCTCCCAACCATTCCTTGAAAACAGGGCCGCATGGCCGTGGGTTTCGTTACAGCCCTTATGATTACTCCTTGCAGTCATTTTTCTAGTTTATTAAAATGATTAAAGTAATTTTAACAATTAAAAAAGTAATTTAACATTATATAATATAATACCTTATCATTTATGTGGACCTCTTGCATAGTCTGCATGCAAGGCATATGCCTTCATCCTGCACTACTTCTCCCTAGCAATGATGTTTTGGATGCTCGTCGAGGGTGTACACCTCTATCGTCAGATCATCCAAGTTTTTGACTCTGGTAATCCTCGAACTTGGGTTTATGGAATCTTAGGATGGGGTAAGATAATCACTCACAGCATTTATATGGTGCAATATTTCTGCATCAAAAACTGCATTCTGCATTAAAAATTTAATTCCGTTTCGTTGACGATCAGCCATGCAAGAACAAGACGAAAGACTTGATGCATGGCTGATCGTCAACGAAACGGAGTTAAGTCCTTTGTTAACTCTGTTTGTTGCTACGACAGGCAGCCAGTGAAAACGAATTCGTTTGATCAAATTATGAAAATGCAAGCATTACTTTAAACAAACAGAACGTTGTTATTCCTGGCTCGTTTCCTGATCGAGGTGTCATATTAAAAGGCAGAAAATGAACTTTCTAGAAATTTGATTTTTCTCTTTGAAATTCAGATACCGCCCGCCAAACGTATTTTTGGTACCATTTCTTCAAATTGTTTTAATCACTCATGCGTGAAATATGCATCATATGAGTTGCATCAAAAGAAAGAGGAGTATCTAAGCTTTAGAAATATGTGTCTTTTAATAAATAAGATTGTCATTAATTTATGATAAAACATCGATAATTCTCGGTTTCGTTTTGCGGGGATGCACTGTACAATCCAGATATTCAAATCTGTTTAATGGCATTTTACGGTAGGGTAAGTTCAAATGAAAGACGGTTTTACTAGACAACGCTGCTAAAGGCAAATCAATACCCACTGTTAAGATTAAGCTTATGATCAATCTTTACAGTGATTGGCTTGTTAAAGTAATATAGTTTGGCTTTAATTTAACCTATACAGTGCGTCCCAGAAAAAACGAAACCGAGAATTATCGATGTTTTATCTAAACTTAATTATAATTGATAAATGACACATATTTTTAAAGCTTAGATCCTCCTCTTTCATTTGTGGCAACTCGTATAATCCATATTTCACGCATGAGTGATTTAAATGAATTTGACGAGAGGAAAACAAAAAGTCATTTGGCGGACGGTATCTGAATTTCAAAGAGAAAATTACATTTCTAAAAATTGAGTTTCTGCCCTCACATATGACACCTCAGTCAGGAAGAATGACCTAGGAATAACAAAGTGCTGTTTGTTTAAAGTAGTGCTTGCATTTCCATAATATTATTAAACGAATTCGTTTTCACTGGCTGTCTGCTGTAGCAACAAACGGAATTAACAAAAGACTTAACTCCGTTTCGTTGACAATCAGCTGTAGACGAAAGACTTCATGCATGGCTGATTGTCAACGAGACGGAGTTAAGTCTTTTGTCAATTCTGTTTGTTGCTACGGCAGGGAACCAGTGAAAACGAATTCCTTTGATTATGGAAATACAATGCCCTACTTTTTTGAGGTGTCATATGAAAGGACAGAAACTCAACTTTTTAAAAATGTGATTTTCTCTTTGAAATTCAGATACCGCCCGCCAAACGTATTTTTGGTTTCCTCTCTCCATAGTCATTTTAATCACTAATGCATGAAGTATGCATCGTATGAGTTGCATCAAATGAAAGAGGAGGATCTAAGATTTCTCAATATGTGTAATTTATTAAATATAAATGTGACTAAGTTATGATAAAACATCGATAGTTCTCGGTTTCGTTTTTTTCTGGGACGCACTGTATAATCAAACTATCACATCCGCCATTTGCAATCATCATCATCAACTTCAGGTGGCGCTGTAAAGCGCTGCTGTGGTCTTCACGAGAGCACGCCATGCAACTCTTTCACCTTCCGTTTGTGTTGCACCTTTCATTCCTTGTCCAGACCCTTTCTTGATATCATCAGTCCAAGATATTTGTGGACGACCTCTACCCCGTTTTCCTTCGACTGCTCCTTGCAGTATTTCCTTCTCAACACCTTCAGATCTCCTAACAATGTGCCAAAAATACTTTAGTTTTCTTTCCATGATTCCCCATCTGCTGGTCAAGTCTGTTCCAATCTTTTCCAGGACCCACACATTTGTCTTTTTATCTTTCCATGACACCTGCAACAGCCTCCTGTAGCACCACATTTCAAAGGCATCAACTCTCTTTCTGTCATTCTTCGTCATGG